CGCCGTGTGGAGGCGATCGGTGGAGACCTGGATAGCGGATTGGATGGCTTGGATTGGGGTGGTGTTTGGATCAGTGACGAGCCCTGCTAAGGAGGCCTGACAAGTGTCGGGAAATCGCGTGGCTTTGCAGACTTGCTGGATCAGAGGGATAGGGGCAGTGATGTGCATGGGGGGTTGAAGATTGCGGGCGGCGGAGGTGAGAGAGAGGAAGAGAGTGAGGGACAGGAAAGGGAGGAAAAGGAAGGAGGCCATGGGGATGAGCAAGAGGAACTTGGGTTTGGGAGAGTGTTTTTTTTTTTTTTGCTTTGGAAGTTGGAGGGTTTGAGTGATTTGAGTTGCAAAGGTTGAGAGACTTTGGATTGATTGTATAGCCTATAACGCTACCACCTTGTCGATGCAGGAAAAGGAGGAGAAAAATATTTTCTATATTTTTTTTCTCGTTTTAGGTAATCTCGTCATACTAGGAAAAGAAAGTTGGCTGATGGCCTCTCTAACAAAGAGGAAAGGGAAAGGATTTTTTTTCCTTTTTCATGCAGGTAGCTTGGTTGGGATGGGAAAACCCTCATGACATTGACAACCATTGGTCAAACATAAAGAATATAGAAGGCTGTGTGAATAATTCCGTTGACTCAATAAGGGAAAGACGTAAACTAGTGCTAAATTACATCAGTACATACTACAAGGAAACCAAAACCTATTAGGTAAGAATAAAGTCAGACCAGAAACACTCCCTTCCTTCTTTCTTTTACCCTCAGATTTTAGGTTTTTTTTTCCTTTTTTTTTCAGGCAAGCCGACCTCTCTCTCTCTCTCTCTCTCTCTCTCTCTCTCTCTCTCTCTCCACTCTTGAACTACCTCCTCTCCTCCCTCCCTCCTCTCTCAACCTCTCAATCTCACTCAGATCCTCCGTTCTCTCGGATTGATTGTCGTGGCTTCATAGGTTTCAATTTTTTTTTTAAACCTTTATGACGATGTCCATTGGTCTTCGGCAATTGACACGTCGCTTCTCCATCTTATTCGTTAATATATTCCCACACCGCAGTCTTCCCTCAGCCCTCTCAGTCCCGTTAATTGCGTGTTGCACCATCGAATGATCCCACCGAAACCCAGACGAGAAACCCCAAAATTTTACCCATAAACCAAACTCAAACAGCTGCCTCCTCCAGCTCAAAGGCGAAAGGTATAGTTGTTTCTTTTCTCCTCTTCTTTTCATTGTGAACTTGGACTCTTCAAAGGCGACATGTTTGAATCATTTTTAGGGTTCCATTTGACAGCGCACTCGCACAAGCCCAAATTCTTTATAAAGGGACTCTGTGAATCATATTGCATTTCAAGATATGAACTTTGCCCTTATCTACACTTGCACTAACCTTCAATTCTCATCATAAATTTGCTACATTTTCCTAATGCTTGAATTCCTCCTTTTTTTTTCTCTCTCTTTTTGAAGCAGATTAATTAATTAATTAATTAGTTAACACATTCATTCAAATGAAGGATTGAGGCAGTTTTTGCAACAAATATTTTGGTACAAAGATGCTTCTTTGAGCCTGAAAATGCAAATATGTTGACCAAAACCAATGAATAGGAGGGATTCACATACTAGGCAGGAGTAAGAGTAGCAACGTAGTAGTCATTCACTGTTTAAGCTAATTTTGAGTTATTCCTTACCCTTTTACCCATGTATCTTAATTATTAATGGTCATCTATCTATATGGTAGGTATTAACTGCAGCATTATGATTAAATGTCATCTTCTGCTTTCCTCGAATTTACTAATTCATGAGTCTTAGATTCTCCTCATTTTTCTTACTTCCTTGAGCTTGTGGTACACATGGGTGTTGAGGTAATTCATAAATTTCATATAACAGGGGCACAAGTGCTGTACATGACAATTGACATTAGGTACAATTTGTCTTCATATCTTGGAAAAATTTGGTGTAGAGGAATGGAAAAAGGCTTGAAGATGAGCTGCCCCTTGAAGCAAATGGAGACTAAATCAAGTCAAGGAGGAGGAGCTTAATTAATGGTATTGTTGATGAGCACATGTTATATCTTAATGTATATTCCTAAAATATATTTATTAGTCCTTTTTACTTGATAAATTTAGTTTATTTTGATGAAGTTTTGTATTGAGTAGAGTTAGAGACATAAGGTTAAATTTGGTGCACCACTTTGACTAATTGTGGCTTCTATTTGTTATTGTTGGAGTTTTTCTTTTCTTTCTAATTTTATGTCTTTCTTTTTAAGATACAATATGACAAGCTGGCTGGACACTTATTTGGTAATATGTTGCAGGTATTTTTCTCTAACAACAAATGACTTGGAGAGATAGTCTAGAGTCCTGAATCTTTGCATCATGAGTAGGCACTACTACAAAAAGTGAAAAAGACGACCAAAAAAAGACAACGGTAGAAGAAAAAACAGTCGTTGTATTTAGAAAGACGACGGTAACAAAAAACCGTCGTGGATAAGTGACTTAAACAACTAAAAAATGGAGGTATTGTTGAATATTTTTTTTATAACCGATGCACACAAATTAAAAAGCGTCATCTTATTAAAAAGGTTTTCTTCAAAGTTAAAATCTAACCAAAAAACAACGACAGTAGGTATGACAAGCGTCGTCTTTTAAAAATCAAGTGTCATTTTTTGGGTAAAGATATGGTTGTTTTGAAAGAATTGTCGTCTATTATATGTAAAGATGACGGTTTTTTTTTTAAAAAGGGTCATCTATTATATGTAAATATGATGGTTTGTTTAAAAAAAGGTCGTCTATTTTATGTAAAGATGATGATTTGTTTAAAAAGGGTCGTCTATTATGAAGTAAAGATGACGGTTTTTTTTACAAATAAGTCGTCTATTATATGTAAAGATGACGACTTTTATACAAACCGTCGTCTATTATATGTAAACATGACGCTTTTTAAAAAACCTTCGTCTATTATATGTAAAGATGACGATTTTTATACAAACCGTCGTCTATTTTATGTAAAGATGATGATTTGTTTAAAAAGGGTCGTCTATTATGAAGTAAAGATGACGGTTTTTTTTACAAATAAGTCGTCTATTATATGTAAAGATGACGCTTTTTATAAAAAAAACGGTCGTCTATTATATGTAAAGATGACGATTTTTAATACAAACCGTTGTCTATTATATGTAAAGATGACGATTTTTATTACAAATCGTCATCTATTATATGTAAAGATGACGCTTTTTATAAAACCGTCGTCTATTATATGTAAAGATGACGATTTTTAACAAACCGTCGTCTATTATATGTAAAGATGATGCTTTTTATAAAAACCGTCATCTATTATATGTAAAGATGACGCTTTTATAAAAAATCGTCGTCTATTATGAAGTAAAGAGGACGGTTTTTTTTAAAAAAATGGTCGTCTATTATATATAAAGATGATGCTTTTTATAAAAAAAAGGTCGTCTATTATATGTAAAGATGATGGTTTGTTAAAATAACCGTTAAATCATGATTTTTCATTTATAACCGTCGTAATTTTTTGTCCCGTTACTTGATCTTTGAATGTTTATTTTTTCCGATTCTTGGCGTATATGATCTTGAAGTATAAACAAACAAGTTTGACGGTTGGATCATTGAAATTAGTTTCTTAGAATGCGTATGCCATTAAAATAATATATTCACTAACAATTAAGAGTTTATTTATACTTTCATTAAATATAACATAAGGTTTTGTGGTATCCACTAGTGTAAATATTTTAAATTAAGATAAAATTCAATCATTGTATTCATATAGGGTCAAGGAGTGTAGCGGTAAAAAATCATCAAAATCAGAGTAAAAATAACCGTTAAATCATGATTTTTCATTTATAACTGTCGAAATTTTTTGTCCCGTTACTTGATCTCTGAATGTTTTTTTTTTCCGATTTTTGGCGTATATGATCTCGAAGTATAAACAAACAAGTTTGAAGGTTGGATAATTGAAACTAGTTTCTTAGAATGCATATGCCATCAAAACAATATATTCATTAACAATTAAGAGTTTATTTATACTTTCATTAAATATAATAGATATTTAGTGATATACCCATTCTTAGCACTAATATTATAGATAAACCCTTCATCATTGAATTTCTATAAACAAACCCAAAAAAAACCCCAAAAATAATAGCTGGCCTTATTGAATTTAATATTGATTATTAAATTACTTTAATGCCCTATTGAGTGTTTTGGGTATTTTTATGAGATTTTGGGGTTGGGCTTGTTTTAATAAATTTATGGTAGTTTTGTAATTTATAAGAAGTTAAAGCCTCTTTGTTATGTTGTAAATGAGTTTTGGGTGTGTTTATAAAGTTCATTTCATATGGGGTATTTTTATAATTTGGGCTCCCATATTGGGTATATTAGTTAATCTCCCTAAATATAACATAAGATTTTGTGGTATCCACTGGTAAATATTTTAAATTGAAGATCAAAATTCAATCATTGTATTCATATAGGGTCAAGGAGTGTAGCGGTAAAAAATCATCAAAATCGGAGTTAAAATAACCGTTTAATCATGATTTTTCATTTATAACCGTCGAAAGTTTTTGTCCCATTATTTGATCTCTGAATGTTTATTTTTTCCAATT